GAATAATCTGTAATACATGCATTTTACAGTGTAGATATTTGCCAAAAAGTTGCACACAGAATAATGTGTACATTCTTATACCATGTTTGCGTGAACACAGTATCTCTGTATGCCATGTTGAGCACATATATCAGCAGTGTAATTACCATATTTAGCTTCTTTTTTTCCATATTGATTGTAACAAAATGCTTGTTTGCAGTGTAAGGTCAAACGTGTAAAAAGGGAATTTTTTACTAATAAAACTGTTTAAAAAGAAAGGGCAAATGAGTCTGAGTGGAGTTTTCCATGCCCTAAAGAAACGTCTGCATTAGCAGTTCCTTGGGAATACAGTAACACTGTCAGTGGTTTGCTGTGATGTTTAGTTCTCTGCCAGCTGCCTGTCTATATATAAAATATGACACTTGAGATATGTGTTTAAGTGGCAGAGGGTTTTCAACACTTTAAGTCATGGGGTGCAATGCCAAAACAACTACAGTGTCCTCCATAATTATTGAAACCCCTAATAAATGTATTTTAAACCTTTGAAATAAATTGATTATTTATAGCAGCTGCATATCCTCATGCTAAAAGATGAGCTGTAGTCTTCCAACACTGACATCCTCACTGCAAGAGGTGGTAAAATAATCCTACTCAAGACCCTCTGTCACAGTTTTTGTAGCCAATTCCTGATATATGAACCTGACATGGATCAGGATTACCTGTTTGCTACATTCTCTTGTTTTTCCCTTATTAACCCTTCATATGGCACTCAGTGAAATACTTTGAAAATCAAAATTTCAAGCCAATAGTGTTATTGGAATCCAGGACAAGACCTTATTACCTTTGTAACATTCAAAAAATATGGATATCTTGATGACAAAAATCAATGTAATAATAAGAAATATCAACTTGCACGAATATATTAAGAAAAATAAAAGTGCTTCTATAAGAAATTCATGAAAAACGCAACTTTTTTTTTTGGTACAACATAACGTCAGAGGCATTAATGCTGATACAGGCACTTACATTCATTTTTTAGTTTATAAAACTACATATAATTGTTAACTAGGCTTGTCATTAAACTTTTTAAGTTTTCAATTCGTTTTTTACCTATTTTTCTTGACTTGTTGACCTTTTTTTGAACTTAATTTAAAGTAGGTAATATATCATTCAAGGGCTCATCTACAGCCATGTAGCAGTATCTTTGCTAAATGGCTGGATATAGATCTTGTGCTTCTAGACCTCACTGAGGGACGGGGGGACTCCATTTTTAAGGGGTCTGCAAGTGATCGAAAACAGTAACTTGCTCTATAAAGAGTTAAGAATTGACAGATAGAAATTGATTTCTATGTTATGTTTTCAAATCGGAGAGGAACTAGGAAAATTACTCAAAAAAATTACAAACTAATAATTCCTAGGACTCCTGTTGTGGTAGAGAAGATACCGAATGTTTGGAGGCAATCGATCCATGGTGGATTTTCAACCTTGGGAATCTTGGTCCATGCCATCTGATCCGTCAATTTTCTTCCTGATTTCTACCACTAAATGGTGCCATTATTTTTAAAAAGCTCCTATAGACACCGCTTAATAAAGACTGAAGTGGAAGACATGCTCAAATAGCATATATTTTATAACAATTCTTTTGGCTGTCAATAAATGCAGCATCAGTAATTTATACAACCAAACAAACCCAGTCATTTATAAATGTGAAATTGTCATCAATAAAGAAATGCACATAAAGGTTGAATATTTCTCATGCCACTGCCATAAAGTTTAATTCATTTTAATACTTTTTTTCACACATTTAACACAACGGTTCGTGGCACTTATGGTAATAAGAGATTTATGACAAGTGGGGTATATCGGCAGATGGCCGCTCACACTGAGCCTGGTTCTACTGAAGGTTTCTTCCTGTTAAAAGGGAGTTTTTCCTCTCCACTGTCGCTACAAGCATGCTTGATGTGAGGGATTGAATTTGAGTCAATGAGTCGATGCTATCAACTGGTTTTCCTTAGATAGAAAACTTTGAATCAATTTGACTGTATGATCTGGTTGAACTGTAAAGTGCCTTGAGATGACTTGTGTTGAGAATTGGCGCTATATAAATAAAGTGAATTGAATTGAGGGTAGCCCTTTACATTTTGCCTAAATAAAATGTAGGTTTTATAATATATATCCATGGCTTGGAACAGTTTAAAGGGAAATATAAATATTATTGTATACACTCCTCTCTAAAGCCTTTTTATACTCCCACTGTAAAATGTAAATGGACTAAATTTATATAAAGCTTTCCAGTCATATCAGCCACTCAAAGCACGTTTCCACATTCAGCCATACGAAATCTCAAACACATTCACACATACGCAAAACGGAGGCAAGTTAGGGTTAAGTGCCTTGCCCAGGGACAAGTCAACAAGTTGTAGGAGGAAGCTGTAATAGAGTGATGACTACTCTTACCATTGAGCACTGATTGCCCAAAATGCCATAAGGAAACAAAATATCCCCAATAACAAACGTTATATCTGATTAATGCAAAACAGTTGAGGAAACTGGTTGTAAAATGTTTATTTTTATTATCACACAGTAACTTTGATATAACATGAGATAGTTGGATTTAACTTTACATAGGACTTTATATACAGCATGTATACTATAAGAGTTTATGTAGCAAAGGGAAACACATTATTATGACTAAGATGCATTTTTCTGCCTGTCAAACCTTTCTTTTGGAAGATCAGAAATGCCACAGACCAATATATGAAATATAAAAAAATATGAAAAATCCAAATCTTTAATCCACTATTAATAATTAAGAACAATTAAATCTTTACTTAAGAAACTGTCTCTTGACCCAGATGACTTGGTCAATTATAGACCTATATCCAAACTTCCTCTCCTGGAACTAACCCATTACAGAGATTACAGGCATGTCTTGGATGACACCTGGATGAATTCTAACTTTCTGCTCCAAATGCAGACAATACAGAAGTTATATCCTTTGGACCAGAATCTTTGAAAAAGAAGCTGATTTGTCAGTCACTTCAATTGGATGGGATTAAACTGATTTCCGATAATAAAGTAAAAAACCTTGGTGTTATTTTTGATCAGGACCTGTCATTTATATCCCATATCAAATAGGTTTCTAGAATTCCTTCCTTCCTCTGTGGAATATTTCAAAAATTAGAAATCTCCTGTCCAGGGTTGATGCTGAGAAACTAGTCCATGCATTTGTTTCTTCAAGGCTGACACTATTGTAATTCTTTACTATCTGGAAGTCCAAAGACTTTAGTTAAAAGCCTTCAGCTGATCCAAAATGCTGCAGCCAGAGTTCTTGTGAAAACTAAAAAGAGAGATCATATCTTGCCTATCCTGGCTTCTCTTCATTGGCTTCCTGTTAAATCCAGAATAGAATTTAAAATCCTCCTTCTCACATATAAAGCCTTAAATGGCCAAGATCCATCTTATTTCAGAGATCTGATTGTTCCTTATGTTCCTAACAGAGCACTTCGCTCTCAATCTGCAGGTTTACTAGTGGTTCCTAGAATTTCTAAAAGTAGAATGGGAGGCAGATCTTTTAGTCATCAGGCTCCTCTCCTGTGGAACCAACTACCAGTTTTAGTCCGTGAGGCAGACACCCTGTCTACTTTTAAGGCTAGACTTAAAACTTTCCTTTTTGGTAAAGCTGATAGTTAGAGTGGCTCAGGTTATCCTGAGCTATCTCTATAGTTATGCCGCCAAAGGCTTAGACTGCAGGAGGACATAGGGAGCCCTTTTTCATCCCTCTGAATTGCTCTCCATCCTTCTGCTTTGTCCCATCTCTACTCTCCCATTCAGCAGAATTTGTTCTGTAGCTTCATCTGGTCTGTTCCTGTTTGGCTGTGACTCCATCCTGAAGAGAAATGTCAGCTTTCCTGCTGCCATCAACACTTTTGTTTATAGGTATACAAGCTTGGCCTGTTTTTCAGTGTAGTCCTGTTTCTCTGGCTGTAACTAACTGTATGTGCTTTCTTCATCCTCTGACATAGGAGCTGGCCTCTGGAGCTGGTTGGCAGTGGCCTTTTGTATCTCTGCTTCTTTATGTATCTCTGCTTCTGTCTCCTTGAACCCCAGTCAGCCTCAGCAGATGGCCGCTCACACTGAGCCTGGTTCTGCTGGAGGTTTCTTCATGTTAAAAAGGAGTTTTTCCTCTCCACTGTCGCTACAAGCATGCTTGGTGTGAGGGATTGCCTTTGAGTCAAAACAATCAACTGGTTTTCCTTAGATAGAAAACTTTAAATCAATTTGAATGTGTGATCTGGTTGAATTGTCTCTAAAGTGCCTTGAGATGATATGTGTTGTGAATTAACGATATATAAATAAACTGAATTGAATTATGAGTGAAAGCCATATCTTAAGTTTTTAATTCAGCTTAACTGATCTCCAGAGCTACATCATACATAATATAATTATCTATCCAGTCATTTTTAATATTTTTTATTTAGATATTTAGAAAAATGTTTATTCATTTACATACATATCTATGGAGCTAAATTGGGACCATAAAGTTTGTAAAAAAAAAAAAAGGATATACTAGAAAAAAAATGTTGGTTTAACAAAACCTTAAAAAAAGATATTTGTTCCCAAAGAAAATTCAAACCAGGAAAAATAATTTGCAGTGGAAGCAACGTTTTGTTTAGTAAAATTGGATGACAGAAATAAAATGTGGAAATAGGATAAAGTAATTGATACTTTTTAAAATTGGTTCAATAAATACTTAATGGCTTAGTATTGTATTAAACAGTGACCCCTGAAATGTGACAGATGGCTGGTATTCAGGTGTCTGAAGGAAAACTAATCCAGTTTTGCTCCTTTGAGGTGAAACCTGAAGTGAGATTTTAGAGTCTGTTCCTCCCCAGAGTCTGAGAGGATGCTAACAGGTGCTAACTCCTGTAGCTGCACCTTTCTGCTGGGTTCAGATTTCCCTCCAAGCCCTGGGTCCTCCCCGGCATCACCCTTCTCACCCCTCCTCCCCAGCTATGCAGAGGCCGTGACGTCACCAGGCGGACTCTCTTCCTGCTGCATCACAGCAGCCTTTAGCAGCTCTGGTAGTACTTGTGACCGGGGTGACGGATCATATACCGCTGGCCCACAGATACCAAAACCCTAACAGCATCCTAACACGGTGTCAGGAAGCGGTCGCAGTGAGATAACCCCGCTCCAGCTGTTGGGATATGGCGAGGCCGGAACAGGTTCTGCTCTTGGAGCCTCAGCACGAACTGAAATTCAGAGGTAAGAGGGGAGGGCCCCGCCTGTGGACGGGAGGAGGGGAGGGGGGAGCCTCCTCTGCCAGCATGAAAATAGGGGGGGGGGGGGGGGGGGGGGGGGGGCGGCAGTCCAGTGTGGGAATAATCGAAACGGAGAGAAACTGAAGCATCTATTTTGACAGCGCTGCTTTGGAATGGCCGAGGCTTTTCTTAGGGGATTGTTGCTAGGTGATCTGCTAGCTGGATTAGCTTTCGACGGTAAAGTTAGCCGGGCCTTGTCGCTTATTCTTTCATGCGACAACAATTGAGATAATTCTTAAATACAGCGGGGACCTTATACTTCATAAAAAGTATTGTTCTTTATTAAACCAGATAAAGCCTCGTAAAACACTACAAATCCAAAGCTAAACCAGCTCCTAGCTTAGTAGCATTAGCCTGCTCGCTGATTGGCCAGCTAGCCGTCACCTAATAACTTGACAGCACGCGGGACAGGAACACTGGGCAGCAGACTCTGCTGTTTAATATCATTACCATCAGCCTTCACCGCTCGGGGTTCAGTAGCAAACATCCTAGCTACGCCTGGCATTTGGTTTAGATATGTCACGTTGCTCAGGGCCCAAACAACCTTATATAAACTCTTATTGTACTCTACTTTGGCGTTTTGTGGCAGATTTTCAAGCCCTATCCCAGCTCAAAATAGTAATCTTTATGTCAAATTAGGCTTAAAATGCAGTAATGTCTATGATATAAAGGGATTTGAAAATAAAATACAATGAATATATTTAAAAGAGACCAAATGAAAACGATGATGGGTAATAATCCATCACGCAACGGTGTGCTGCAGTATGTAGCAGCCTTAACACCATAGTCAGAATATTTTTAAAATATACTGATGTTTAACCTTTTTTTAGGGAACTCTGTAAAATACTTTGAAAATCAAAATGTCAAGACAATAGTGTTATTGGAATACCTTGGTAACATTCAAAAAATATGGATATTTTGAAGGCAAAAATTAATGTCAATGTAAAACAAGAAATGCCAACTTGCCTGAATATATTGAGAAAAATAACAAAAGTGCTTTTATAAGAAATTCATGAAAAGCACTCTGAGAGTGAAAGAAACTCATGTTTTGGTACAACATAACCTTAGGGGCATTAATGCTGATACTGGCACCTACATTTTTTTTTTAGCTTATAAACCTAAATATGATTGGTAACAAGGCTTATTAACTTTACTTTTTAACTTTTCAATTAGCTTTTTACTTTTATTCTTGACTTAACTTTTTTTTTTCCAACTTAATTTCAGCGACACACAGGAGCTCTTTCAAGCTGGGCACACGTTTCATTCACAACACCTGTCCCATCAACCAGGAATCACAATCAGAAATACTTTAATAATCCCAGGGCGAAACTACTTTCGTTATAAGACTCCATCTGTTATAGAGTGACTATAGGACCAGCTTGATATAACACAATTTCATACAATAATTAGGGGTCCTCCATCTCGCCATCAGTTTGGGGGTCCTTGGCCTGGAAAACATTGAAGACCCCTGCTCTAGACCATGACGCTAACGATATCATACTAGCAATAATTAACTCTTATCAATGAGTTAGTTGCTAGATCCGCTGTCACACCCACAGTCAGGCTGTTGAAGATTGTTTTGAATAACAAAACTTTACAAAACGTTACAACTTTGATAAAGAGAAAATGCAATTGTTTATCTCTGGCGAGATCTTGTTTTTGCTTGAACAACATACCAGGTCAGTGTCACCGAAAGAGGTGAAAACACAAGGCCACAAACCTGGCTAAAATAGTTTGTTTGTTTATCTGTTGTTTGTCACTTTCTCTGTTTTTCCAATCCTGTAGCCGCTTAGCCTTCTGTTTTGTGTTTTTTATTTAACATGGGTCACTGCTATTTTACAATATTAACAAAAAAAAGGGCCAGTTTTTGACTGATTACACTGCTGATACACTATCTGTATTTATCACACTATTATATAATTGATACAAACTACCTGTCACCGAGTAAACATATTGGATATTAGGTAATTACACATGTATACATGCTGTGCAAATAACATCTAATCGTTTAACTGCTTACAAAATGAAAGCACAAACTTTATTTGTAAAAGCATTGTTGGTTGTCACATTTGACATCACCTTACAACAACTTTAGATAATCCTAAGTTATCTTTCATTATAAAATATTAACAGCAGACTGTAAAAACAGCAACCTATCTACATAAGTTATGTTTTCTTTATATTTATTTTTCTTTTTTTAAAACCCTTTCAAGGTTGTAATCCTAAATCTTAAATCATTTAAAGAGGATTTGGTATGGGTTGTTTTCAGTTTAATTGTGTTAATCTATGGGAAGGAAAGAATTTTGTTTTGGTGCACTAGGCAATTACAATAAATCACATGCTTCTTCTTAAGCCTTAAGTAATAAGTCGGCACATGGGGTGAACATTTTGTTAAGGAAATGGGGACAGTTTAGTTTTAACGTGGCCCTTTTGTGTACCATCTAAATCCAATTTCCATAAGAACCAAGCCTTGAACTTTCTAACTCTTCTCACCTGTTTTTCATTGGTAAAAATGAAAAACGTCTTTGATGTATAAAATGTAGCTACATTTAGTCTTAAACATCAGTTTTTCTTGGGTTTAAATTTTTTATTGGTGGTGTACAGGAATTGGAGACTTCCCCCAAACTACTCTCAGTAGATCAGATGTTAAACTTGTTTGAGTCATGTGTGTTCCTTTCATTAAAGGTACACTATGCAACCGGTGTTGATTTTCCAGCGAGGCTCCCCCCAGAGGGCGAAAGTAAAAGTGCACTGTCGTAAATATGCACAGCTGTTCTCCTGGTTTCTCCGTCAAGCCAGGCGCGGTTGTTTTGAGCTTAGCAGCGAATGACTAATGCTGCGTTCACACTGGACGTAGCTGGCGCGACAGAAGCAGCGAGTTTACATGCAAAGTCAATGGTTGACGCGCGTCAAGGCGCAGCAAAAGGTCCCGCGGCTCGTTTTGAGCACCAGGCGCAGCACGTCTGAGCAGCTGAAGCAGCGCGTCGGGTGCGTTTAACGCAGGGAGAGAGACACAGCGCTGATGATCACTCCTCTTAAACAGTTTATTGACGCCTAAATTAACTTAAAATGCAGAAATCTGCCGGCAGAATATGCAGTTTGGATTATTTAGATGAAAAACACCTACCAGCTGCCGCGGTGAACCGCTGCTAATGAAGCGATCCATACTGTCGGCGCCCCGCTGGTATGTGGGGGTCTGAGCGGCTCCGACAGAAAAAATATTGAAGGCAGGATAATAATCTGAATGAACTGACTGCACTGATTACGTTTTCAGGTGTATTTTCTCACTTAAACACATATTAAAACTACTTTATTCCCACTGATCACAGCAAATATAGCTGCAAGGCAGAGAAAGGATAGTGAAGCTCCGCCCAACGCGCCTCAGACACACTTTTGCACCGCACAGCCAGAGCAGCAAAGCTGCTTCAGCCGCGCGTCAGAACTAACTGGTACAAGCAGCAAAAAGGAATCAGCAGACGCGATTTTGCTGCTTTTGCTGCGTGAACGTAGCATAACTGCACAAAGATTGCCACTGTGCTAGCAACGAGAATGCTTTTAACTGGGGGCATGTAGCAGTTCTCGCCGTAAAGCAAGACTGACTCTCACGAGACTTCTGAGCCTGTGGGTGCGGGTCGGTGCTCCTGCAGTTGCAAGTGCAGTATTTCCCCCACAGACCACCAGGGCGGCCGAGAATACCTTTGTTCAACCTGAAATGACTCATTTAATCATCCATAACGTTATGGAACACATTAATTAACTGAAAAATGTTGCATAGTGTCCCTTTAAAGTTTGTTTTTAGATGTCAAACCAAGATTATGAAGGTCTGAATTTACCCTCTGTCTTTGCTAAACGGCAAAGGGAAGTGTCACTTTGCTCTGGATGTTTGCTAAGCTGAAACCTTATCTTAAATCCAGTATTTGTCCGTTTTATCAAGGTAGACTTTGTTTTACTCCATTTTAAATGTTCTCCTCATTATAACTGCCTCTGTTGAAGTCTAGTATGGGGTTTTATTTACATTTCTCATGATTAGCTGATTAAGGGGATTTCCCATCCATCCATCCATCCATCCATCCATCCATCCATCCATCCATCCATCCATCCATCCATCCATCCATCCATCCATCCATCCATCCATCCATCCATCCATCCATCCATCCATCCATCCATCCATCCATCCAAGTGTTTTATTGCTTCAATGAATGCTTTGTTGGCCACAATGGGAAACTGTTTACGTCTACCTCCATGGATCTGCATGGATCTTGAGGCTAGCTGCAACTCTCTCTTCCCCTCCATGTTGCAGCAAACCCACTAGACATGCATTACTGCCACCTAAAGGACTGGAGTGAGAAAGTCAGTGTCTTACTCTTGTTAAGTGTAAAGTAAAAAAAAAAATAATTGTGTCTGTGATTTGAAGATTGTATTTTTATTAGGATTATATTGAAAATGCAATTCATTTGGTTTGAAACAAATAACAGCTTATTTGTTGTTAGTCAAGCAAAAAAGATCAATTAACTTTAGATTAATTAATACGTTGATAACTTGAAACCCTAGCTTTTATTGATAGGCAGTATAAAGAAGGTCAAAATATAATAATTCTGCTCTTAATTAAAAAAATCAACTTTAATTGAAATAGTCTTCTTAGAAGTCAAAATGGAATTTTGAGTTTCCGTATTAATGTAAACACAGACCTGACTTGATCTGTTTAGCAGTACAAAGGGTGTATTTAACAGCATCTTTTTCCATTTTTGACTTTGCATGTTCGTTCGTCGTCTCCCGCTTTATCCGGAACCGGGTCGCGGGGGCAGCAGGCTAAGCAGAGACTCCCAGACTTCCCTCTCCGCAGACACCTCCTCCAGCTCTGTTGGGGGAAGCCCTAGGCGCTCCCAGGCCAGCCGAGAGACATAGTCTCTCCAGCGTGTCCTGGGTCGTCCCCTGGGCCTCCTCCCGGTGGGACATGCCTGGAACACCTCCCGAGGGAGGCGTCCAGGGGGCATCCGAAGAAGATGTCCGAGCCACCTCAACTGACTCCTCTCGATGTGGAGGAGAACCGGCTCTACACTGAGCCTCTCCCGAATGACCGAGCTCCTCACCCTATCTCTAAGGGAGAGCCCAGCCACCCTGCGGAGAAAGCTCATTTCAGCCGCTTGTATCCGGGATCTCGTTCTTTCGGTCATGATCCAAATTTCATGACCATAGGTGAGGGTAGGAACGTAGACCGACCGGTAAATTGAGAGCTTTGCCTTTTCGCTCAGCTCTCTTTTCACCAGGACAGGACAGGACTTTGCATGTTTTCTTTTTCTTTTTTTTTTTGTCAAGTTCAGCAGGTCAGGTTCCCACAGCTTCGGGATATTTTCAGCTCAGCTTGTCCGTTTCTGTTTGGGTACAGCATTTATTACTGTTTGCTCACGCTACTATTAGCCACATTAGCCTCTAAATCCTTTACTATTTACTAAGGTCAATAACCTTAAAGTATTTTCATAAAAAGAGCCTTAGTCTGAACTTTGACAGCATCCTTAGCCTCTACAGGATTAGTTGATTTTTGTGGTTTATAAATGAATAAGTGTCTCTTTCTATTGATGCCAACTCATTTTAATAAGGCTCTGATTTTGTACCAGTGAGATTACAGAAAAAAGATGTAATTTAACTTAGTTAAATGTAAACATTCTTTGCACTTTTACTCCTAATAGAATCTTCATTAAGGGAGAGAAGCTTAATTATTCGTTTATACAAATTCTTTATAAAGACATCTGGTCTAAAGTAAATGCTTAACAAACTGTGTATTTCATTTTTTTAAAGAAATTGTTACCAAATTACTAATAAGCAAATTCTTTGCTTTTTTATTGTTGAGATTTTTTTGCAGACTAGTGAGAAAAAGTGCTGAAGGGTGCAAAGCAAAGGTTCTGAAAGCTGTCTGTCGACACTGTGTATATCAGGTTGCTCATCAGGATTTAAACTGTAATCCAAGACATTTTTTTTTAAATTATATACATATACACACACTATTTCTACTTGGGTTTGAAAGCTGACATTAGGTTGTTTAGGGTAATCAACTAAGCTTTAACTTAAGAAAGCTTTCAAAATATATCAAGCTTGAATCAGCTAACTTACATATGATATATGTATATATATATTATTTTTTTGGGCCACAAGAAGAACCACATGCAGTGATTTTCTTTTTCACAGCTAAATGAAACCTTCAGACCAGATTCCTTGTCCAGCATTACCATTTAATTTCAAATCTTTTGATTTAGAAGCGCTACAAACACTGTTACAAAAACACTGTTAACTCAGTTCTCCAAATATCATTAATAATTCAAGTTTAGCTAACACTTTTAGCTGAGTAGCTCCAGTTTACTGTGTTTTTAATCTATGCAGCGTAATGCTGGGGGCTGATAAGAGCCTTGTAGGGATGTGGACTGCATCTTTGAGGGCTGTAATTAATCGAAGTAAATTAGCCCGTCCTGGTTTGGGTTTTACAGTAAAATAAGAACGTGATCTTTTAGATTATTTAGCATAACTATGTTTTTAGTGAGTTTAAAACATCCCTTTCTTCTGTTAACCATGTGGGAAAGGTTAAACATCGGTTTACAGTGAAAAGTAATGTTAACAACATCCAGTTTTTCACCTGTAAAGAGTCAGTTTGTTTGTCTTATTGGTTCTGTGATATCTGATTGTTTACCCTACAGCAGCATATGATGGATGTGCATTTCGATGGATCTTGAACGTTTGATTTATTGCTTTATTTTCTTATGGCATAGGTTTAGGACTAGATTGTTTGAGGCTGTGTGCCAGTCACAGCTTATTCTCCATCCGTCTCATTTGATTAATCTTGTGTTTCTTGTATTTGGCATTCCAGTAATCTGACCAAGGAAAAGTGTAAACCTGACCACGTGTGGTCACCCTGATCATAACCTCCTTTACATACAAAATACCACGACTGTTTCTGCAGCTTTTGTCCGTGGTTTTCTTTCTAAAAGATTTCCTTTTTTCCCCTATTTTTTCAACCAGTGTCTACCTTGACTTAAAGATTGTAAAGGTTGATTATAGTTAGATTTTCCTGAATTAAAAAAAACCTTTTAAGTGGCTCTTCTGTTGGCTTTCTTCACAGGTCCGTTTTCAGACGTGGTCACCACAAATCTTAAGCTCTCCAACCCTACAGACAGGAATGTATGTTTTAAGGTCAAGACGACAGCGCCCCGCCGGTACTGCGTGCGGCCTAACAGTGGCATCATTGACGCCGGCACTTCAATCAACGTCTCTGGTAAGTAGAAATTAACAGTGCTGTCTTGGGATTATCAAATTTTCCCTGAAGTTTGATTGCTTATTTATTAAAAATTTCCTTTAGCCTATAGCTGTCATTTAAACTACATTCCAATAATTAATTATCCATACAGTAATTGTAGAAGCTATGTATTTTAAAGTAAATAGCATGTCTGAATACTCTGTTTATTGTTTTTTTTTATTTTTTATTACTTAATCAGTTGATGATTATTAAAATAATCAATTTATATGATCATTTTTGTCAGGGCTAAAACACATTAATTGTAAATTGTTCGATAGTTTTTAATTAATCTAAAGTAATATATGACATATTTTAATATATAATTTTAGGAACTGTAAAAGAACAAAAAGTTTCTGAAAGATATCCTCAAAAAACCCAGACTGCCAGACAGCTTTTCTACTCAAGCTGTTGTAAAGTGACTGATGGAGACTAATGTTTCCATGCTGTGACACCCCAGCCATATGCTCATTTTACAGCCTGCCCTATCTGGTGACAGCAACCACAGACTGAGTTACTGCTCGCTGTCAGCAGTATGCCACAAGCTAAGTCCCATCTCAGCTGCTGTCATGTTTACTCTTATTAGGCTGAAATGCTCTCAAACTAGGATTTCTCGTCTTAGAATCTAATTTTACTGGTAACCTTCAGGTTTGCTCTGTCACCAGCTTCTATTTCCAGTACTGTGGCCTATTTGGTGTTTTCTAAGCCCTGCAGCTGACAGGGTAACAGTGACATGCAGGTTCTTGTATTTCAGGAAAAGTACCATTAAAAAACGAAGCACATGTTTTTAAATAGAAGTCCAGGTGTATTAAGGTCTTCCATATCCATGTTGGTGTCCAATTCAAGTGTCATCAAGTAAACCGTGCAGTAGATTATTATTGAAGCGGACTATCTCAAACCGTATTTGGCTAAGCATGATCTACTAAAACCTCGTCTAGTTTATTAAAGTCTATGTTAAAGTCAGCGTTGCTGCTTGTTGCTATTGTAGGAGATTTGATACTAAAATAAAACTCATTTATATATTTGCAGTGCCTTTGTAATAATTCATTGCAGCTGCTTTGAAAGTAATCGAAGCACTACGATATTTAAAAGGTTGTAAACATTTAATTTCTAAGGTTTGCCTTTAGCAGAGATGTATGTTTATTAAACATGTTAGGCTGTAACATTGCTCATTATTCTCATCCTTTCTATACTTATATTCTGAGGTTGAGCCTGAATGTCGCTGTTCATGATTGGTGCTAACATCATGTGGAAAAGTATAACTCAAAAATTTAAAAACATCCTTTATATTTACAAACACTAAGATTTATATAGATGGCTTTAGATATTTCTATCACCAGTATGGGCAGCTAAGAGTAGTTTTATTATTTTACTACCTTATCCTTACACTTATTTCCTGTGGGCTTTTGTTTTGACTGAACAAGAGAGTGATTCATCTGTCCACAGAAGATATTTTATACAATATCTCAGCTCTAAAGTCTCTGAGTAATGTGTGATCCTTCCTAATAATCAGAGGGCACACCAGCTCCATTCCAAGTCAATTATATTTTCATAACAACGCTCAGCCTATAAAGTGGAAGCTGATGACTTGCAGGTTATTTCTCATCTCAAGCTGTAGCGTCTGTTCTTATTTCCTTTTCAGATTTAATTGAATAAGACAGACTCAGAAGCACACAATCAGGGGAATAAGGGCATGGTATCCCCGAGAAATACAAAGTGGAATAAATTTAATAACTTTGAGTTCATAACCTGGTTAGTTTTGCCATAAGCTCAATATTTCAGCCACCCTTTTGTGACAATGCTCTGTTCTTTAATCCCAGACTTTATATGATATGGAGGTTAGTATTTATTTAGTAATAATAATAATAATTAAACTTTATTGATCTCACATTGGAGAAATTGACCTATGCATTTAACTCATCCCAAAGTGGTGCTATTAGAACAGCAAACAGACTGGTTGATGAAAAAAGATGAATTATAATAATCATTTAGTCCCATGGAGGTGAAAATAAAGATTTTACAGCAGCAAGATGGCAGTTCTTTCAGCATTTAGTTTTTTAGGAAAGCTTTCCTATTTTACATATAAAGCTTTCACAAACTGCACCAAGTTTCATGTGTTACACTGAGTTCACCTTTGGTCTTGTTCTATTCTGCATTGTTTTAGGTTTCAGAGCACCAGTTTACACATTATTTTCTTATTTTACAGATTTAATGATGAAGGAAACCACTTTATATTTGTTTGCATCTTTTACAGACAACCTGAGCATTCAGACATCCCATCATAGCACTGTTTTATTTTGAATGTAAATACAGCTTTATATAAGCTGGGAACAGATGTAAAGCTCTTTTGACAGAAAATGTCCTTGCAAAATATTTGAAAAATATCTTCTCATCTGCTGTTGAATAAAGCTAATTAATTTAAGTTACTGTATTTTGTGACATCATCTGCTGCTTTACCTCAGGAGATCAACATACAATCTCATTTTCTTACATTTTGGTTCATTATTAGGAGGACTTGACAATATTTGTAAAATAAATGAATAAATTGTGGAAACTTTTACTTTAATTATATATATACCAACCCCTCTATTGATGCTCTTATTTTGAAAGTAAAAAAAAATCATTTTCATATATGAGGGAAGAGGTTTGGGTCTGCACTTTTTGTGCATAATAATCATTTATTGACAAACATCTTAGTGTTTACCTTCCTGCCTTGCCATGTTTGTCACCTTTAGCTTCTAAATTTGATAAAAATCTAGCATCATACAGGAGCAACAAATTAAACTACCTGAATAACTAGCTCTTTCTGAAGCCGACAGTAAAAGATGATTTAAAATCTGTTTCTTCCCCCTATGATCGGTGCATTTCTTTTCCCAATCGCAAGCAATCGTTTTAACACTGTGCATTGCAACTTGAAAAAAACAGTTCATGCTTTCCTGCCTCCATTCTCCGGTGTTCTCCCTATGGACCCAAGCTAAATGGTTGTGCAAATTGGGACTGACTGAAACAGGACATTCTCAATCTGTACGTGCCGTCTGTTTCTGATTTGCAATCTTGAGCCGCATTGATTGCTGAAATGGCGCACAACTCTGCTCTCGGGAGCATTGGCATGTGCCCTATATGAAAGTCACTCTGATACCCAGACCAGCTTTGAATTTAGGTCATTTGTTTTCAGTGAAATGAAAAGAAATCCCACAAGCATGGTGGATGAAGTTCAAAAATATGTCTTTTGATTACATCCTGATTTAAAGCTTGCAGCCAGGGGAGGGGTATCCTAAACCATTAATAGCCATTTTCATCTTTCCAGACCCTTTTTTTGACGACACGAGTAAATGATTACTGTAAATCATTTTTACGGCTTTGAATAGCTTCTCAATGACATCAAATAACACCGCAGACGAGAAGCACTGATATAGAGACAGGCTGAGGAGAAATATTCCAACTCCACACCTGCTTTTTGTTAGGGAAGCGTGTAATGCTAGGAGAGGAAAAGGCTTAAATGTTGTTAGAAAAATTAGCCCCATGGGAATCTGTTGGTCCTTCGCTGTATCATCATCATCATCACCACGGTAAAAGAAGCCAATGATTTCCACCACTTCTTTCCAAACTGTACAAGCAGTTCCAGAGCCTTTGACCTATTTAAAGAAATGAGAGACATTTCATGTTTTAAGTGGTGCTACTTGTCTACTGTACAGTTTTATCTGTTGATGCTGGATTTTCATGGGACTGTAAGTGAGAAATAAACAAAGGTTATGATAATAAAACTAAACGATACTCCAAAAACGATGTGGGAAGAAGAGTTCTGGATTTGGTGTAAGTAAGCAGTATGTCCTGTTTCCTTTTTTTTATTATAAAAGAGAATAAAAAAGGAAAAAAGAACAAAAAAACCTATAACATATCATTTGATATTTATTTTGTACAAATTCACAAGTCAGATAATTAAAATGAAATAACTATAGAAACCTGCAATCTAACCTAATAACGATATTTAAAGAGACACAACTATAGAGTCAAGGTGAAAGGAAGCAACATTCTTATTTAAAGTTATACTCGTGTTTTTTTTTTCAATTTTTGAAGATTTAAATTCAGAAAATCTGGATTTTTTTGTTCTGTAGTTCAGAGTGGCATCAGGCCGTCACTTTTAGTTCTCAGACATAATTTAAATACTGATAAACCCGCTCGTTGTGTAATACCGCTACTTGCAAACAGTTAGTGTGGTACGTTGTGACCGTTGCTCTCAAACAAAGGTGTGCCTGCCTGTTTTAGTAGCAGCTTTCATAGCTTGTGTTTAGTTGTAGTTGGAATTGAGTTTAACTTCCAGAAGCAACGTTTGGAATAAGAGTGCTTTCCTTTTTCCCCCCACAGTATGTAGGAAAGGGGGTAAAAAAATACATGGGATTTGTTGTGAAAAAATCTGAGATGTTATTACCTAAACCATATGATTTCAGTCATATGTCGACCAACATAATTGTGAGAATTTCTTTAAATACTCTATAGTAGTTTTGAATCCAGGTGATCCAACATTTATCTGCTTTTGCTCCATTTAAAGTCAAGTACCACAAAAAACAATCCTGTTTTTTGCATTTATAGTGAAGAAAAATTTGAGTACATTGAGGATGCATTCAATTAATAAAATATGTGCATTGAACCGATTAAAAACCAGTTACAGCAGATCACGGAAATAACTGGCCAATATCAGTTACTGGCTGATTTATTAGTTGCATCACCAGTCATTGATTAATATTTTTAACTCCGGCTCTTAAAACAACACTGTGTAACTTTTCAGCCACTGGGGGTCTTATAGTTGTAACTTAACATTCAAGCGCTCCTATAAGCCACTTAGCCACACAGCACTGAGTCTAAATTCAAGGCCACATTTACCCCTTTAGTTAAATCCTACATCAGCAAACCAAAAACACGTTAGCTGGGTGTCATATGACTCAGTCGGTAACAAATACCAAAGTTTCATGCAGTAACAAGTGAGTTTTTTAGAAGGCCAAGTTTTTTTTTTTATAATGACCTGGGAAATCAAATACATCCCAAATTAAACACACTTGCCTTCAAAATATCCTGCCTGTAGACAGTAAAACAAATCTAAAACTATTGAGGAAAGAAAATGATTATTTTAAAAACAGCAGTGTGGTTTTGTTCCTTGTCTTTTCAGATTCAATGTGGCTTAAAAAAAATCCTTAAAAGCGAAGTGGATCATATTCTGACTCTGGTAAGCTCGATCGATGTTTCCCTTTTTACCTAACATTGATTTTCGTTTTGTTTTTCAGTCATGTTGCAGCCTTTTGAATATGATCCCAACGAAAAGAGCAAGCACAAGTTTATGGTTCAGTCCATGCTAGCACCTCCTGACATGACTGACATGGAGGGAGTGGTAAGTTTTTCTCATCCTTTACTGGTTTTTAGCCTCTGACTGTTTTTAAATCTGTGGTCAAACTCCACCTTTTCTGTTTTGTTTTTAACACCTAGCAAGACAGTGGGCTTTATTTTATATTGTATTCCTTTTATCTTTTACCCAATTTTATTGATTTGATTTTGTGAATGTTATTTTTACCCATATTTTAGCTGTTTTTTGTTTTCTGTACTGTTTTATGTATGTATTTATTTATTCATTCTGTAAAGCACTTTGGTCAGCCGTGCTTGTTTGAAAGTGCTAAACAAAATTGAATTGGATTTATTGTAGTTTGGGAGCTTTTGCTAACAGCAGCAGTGCTTCTGCATTTCTCTGCTCTGCAACAACAACACACTTAGCTCAGACACTTTTGTTTCTGGCCAGCCTACGCACCGTAAAACTGATTTAAAAAAGATTATCAAGTTCAGAATGTTTTACATGGCAAGACAGGAAGGTAAACACTAAGATGTTTGTCAATAAATGATTATTTTGTTGTTGTTTTAGAACAACAAGTCCAGAGCCAAACCTTTTTCCTCATATTTGAAAACGGATAAAAAAAACTTTCAAAATAAGAGCATCAATAGAGGGGTTTGTATATATAATTAAAGTTAAAGTTTCCACAACAAGCACACAGAGAAACATGTAATACATTTAAACTTAATTTTGCAAAACCTAAATATTGCTATCTTTGAAGAGGGCAAACAAATGTTTGAATTAGATTTAAACTGTTATAGATTTAAAGAGTTTTCACTTAGTTTTGCTTTTTGGCAGAAGAAACACAAGTGTCTACAGAGTTTTACAAGCTTAAATGTATGCTGCAGGAAAATGTATGTATCATTGTTGGACTTGATGAATAAAACATTTATATTTGATCCTAATTTTTAAGTTTTGTCTTAAATTAATTCTAAAACATGCATAAATTCAAAAAGAATCAAGTATTGTTATCCTTCTTTTCAAATAACAACTTGAATCAGAAAAAAGTCTGCAGGAAATTGAATCTGTCGTATTATTATTATTATTATTATTATTATTATTATTATTATTATTGTCTTCTGTGTTTTTAAACATTATGCAGGGGTAAATGGGCAATTTAATGTCACAGTATTAACAGGACAAATTTGTGAGCCCAATTGGTCAAACTTTACATTTCTTCCTTAAACTAAGAGTTTTTTATTACTGTTATTACATACAACATATAAAAAAGCAAAAGAAAAAAATGAACATGAATAAAGAATATAAATCTGTACTTTTGATTAAAAAAAGCAGTTATTATTGACTGGTTGCACAAAGAAAAATGTTTAATACAAATTTTTACAATTCTTTATTGTATGAAGAAATGTTGGTTATTGATGATGGTTCTGTTATTTTTTTTCTGTGCCGTTTAAAGCTCATGAAATTTATCTAGGATTTCCAATATTATTGTTTGAAGACTTTTTGGTTATTGTTGCAAATATTTTTTTTTTTTTTCGTAGTTTACAATAATCTGATTTGTTAAAGGAGTCATAAGCTGGTATGTTACATAAATAATCCTTCTGAAATAGTTTTTACCTTCATGTTTAATCATTTATAGGAGAAAAAAACTGAATATACATCACTCAGAGCCTTCATACCCTTTTTTTTTCCTTGTGAGGGTTTGAATCATGTGAATATAGTGTTAGCAACATTAGCAGTTAGCCATGGTTCATTTGCCATCATTTCCCAGTAATGAAATAATGACATTATTTTCCTGTTCTTCTCCGTTTCCAGTGGAAAGAAGCAAAGCCAGAGGAGTTGATGGACTCTAAGCTGAGGTGTGTTTTTGAGATGCCAGCGGAGAACGAAAAAACGGTGAGCTATTTGCCTCTATTCATTATATTCTTACAGTGCCCATACATATGAGGCCATTCAAACTTTTGTAATGTGGTTTTAAAATATGTTTCTTATACTTTGCCAGATTTGGGGTCTTTCTTAAATGTTTCTTTCCAGCATATTTGTACCACTTTACAATAGATTGTACATAGAGGCTGAATATTTATTTTCCTTTTCTGCTCTCTTGTTTCTTTTTCCATAATTTCACGTTCTGGTTGTTCTCTTTTCAATTATTTTTCAATTGCCTTCTGTATTCCCTCCTTTTTCATTCAACAGCCAAACCTAATGCCTTTTGAAAGCCGCTTTGTTTTAGTCTTAGGAAAAGTTTATTATTTTTGTGCTTCTTCTTAGGGTACCTGATTTCGCTCAGCTGTGGACACAGCATTTTATTAAAGATAGGAGGGTTAGTCTACTGGCTGCTGGAACACAGTGAGCAAAATCAGCTTTCAGTGGTTGTTTTGAGTTAACTGGGCTCCCAGTAGGGGCTGAAAGCCACAGAGTGTTTTAGGCAGAAATAATGGTGATGGAAACCAGCTTGATCCTCTTATGAAATGAACCCCTGGGTGAACTCTTCTACAAAGGTGTGTGTGTCTTTGCACTGTTGTAAGTGAGCAGTGTTAAGGCTTCCAAATGTAAACAGATGGTTCTTACTCTGTCTCAAAGATGCTCTTTGAATCATCATGTAAACATTTCAGTACCAGGTTACTGATCGAATCAAAGCCTGTCCCTCTGTAACCCACTTACAGCATGACATGGAGTCCAACAAGATGTCGTCGAGCCTGCTGAAGTCAGAGTCCTCCTCGCTGTCTGGAAAGTCACTGAGTTCCACCCTGGATGATGGAGAGGTAAAAAAGATCATGGAGGAGTGTAAGCGGCTTCAGATGGAGGCTCAAAGGCTACGGGAAGAAAACAAACAGATTAAAGTGAGTAAAACGACTCAGAAGACCAGAATAACTTCATTTCTTCTCCTTCTTTCTCTGGTTTTACCACGTGTTTGTTTCGGATATTCAAAAGTAAGAAAATCCTGTTTTTTTTGTTTTGTTTTTTTTCACATGCCTTAAAGATGCCACTCATTGTTTCTCGCTTTAAAAGTCAGTTGTTTTTTGTGGGATAAAGGACGTGATTGGTTATCTCTCCCAAAAAATTTGATAAAAAAAAAAAACTTCTTTACTTCTGATCACCACTCTGTCATTTTAAAGTTTCCACAGAGCTGTTCCCAAACCGAACTCAAGATAAAACTCTACAGGTGCTGGTCATAAAATTAGAATATCATGAAAAAGTAGATTGATTTCAGTAATTCCATTTAAAAAGTGAAACTTGTATATTGTATTCATACATTACATACAAACTCATATATTTCAGATGTTTATTTTGTGTAATTTTGATGATTACAAATGACAACAAATGAAAATCTCAAATTCATCATATCAGAAAATTAGAATATTGTGAAAAGGTTCAAAATTGATGGCCCCTGGTGCCACACTCTAATCAGCTAATTAACTCAAACCACCTGCAAAAGCCTTTAAATGGTCTTTCAGTCTAGTTCTATAGGCTACACAATCATGGGGAAGACTGCTGACTTGACAGTTGTCCAAAAGACGACCATCGACACCTTGCACAAGGAGGGCAAGACACAAAAGGTCATCGCTAAAGAGGCTGGCTGTTCACAGAGCTCAGTGTCCAAGCACATTAATAGAGAGGCGAAGGGAAGGAAAAGATGTGGTCGAAAAAAGTGTACAAGCAAGAGAGATAACCGCACCCTGGAGAGGATTGTGAAACAAAACCCATTCAAAAATGTGGGGGAGATTCACAAAGAGTGGACTGCAGCTGGAGTGAGTGCTTCAAGAACCACCACACACAGACGTATGAAAGACATGGGTTTCTGCTGTCGCATTCCTTGTGTCAAGCCACTCTTGAACCACAGACAGCGTCAGAAGCGTCTTGCCTGGGCTAAAGAGAAACAGGACTGGACTGCTGGTGAGTGGTCCAAAGTCATGTTCTCTGATGAAAGTAAATTTTGCATTTCCTTTGGAAATCAAGGTCCCAGAGTCTGGAGGAAAAGAAGAGAGGCACTTCATCCACGTTGCTTGAAGTCCAGTGTAAAGTTTCCACAGTCAGTGATGGTTTGGGGTGCCATGTCATCTGCTGGTGTTGGTCCATTGTGTTTTCTGAGGTCCAGGGTCAACGCAGCCACATACCAGGAAGTTTTAGAGCACTTCATGCTTCCTGCAGCTGACCAACTTTTTGGAGATGCAGATTTCATTTTCCAACAGGACTTGGCACCTGCACACAGTGCCAAAGCTACCAGTACCTGGTTGAAGGACCATGGTATCCCTGTTCTTAATTGGCCAGCAAACTCTCCTGACCTTAACCCCATAGAAAATCTATGGGGTATTGTGAAGAAGAAGATGCAATACACCAGACCCAACAATTCAGAAGAGCTAAAAGCCACTATTAGAGCAACCTGGGCTATCATAACACCTGAGCAGTGCCACAGACTGATCGACTCCATGCCACGCCGCATTGCTGCAGTAATACAGGCCAAAGGAGGCCCAACTAAATACTGAGTGCTGTACATGCTCATACTTTTCATGTTCATACTTTTCAGTTGGCCAACATTTCTATAAATCCTTTGTTTTTATTGGTCTTCAGTAATATTCTAATTTTCTGATATGATGAATTTGAGATTTTCATTTGTTGTCATTTGTAATCATCAAAATTAAACAAAATAAACATCTGAAATATATGAGTTTGTATGTAATGTATGAATATAATATACAAGTTTCACTTTTTAAATGGAATTACTGAAATCAATCTATTTTTTCATGATATTCTAATTTTATGACCAGCACCTGTAGTATCATAGACTGGCTTTAGAGATGTAAGAATCCGGAATGACCTTAAAAGTTTTCTGCTAGTTTACGGCCCATTAGCGCTCAACTTCAGTAAATATAATAGAGATTTTGTTCTATTTAGCCAAACGCCGGAGATATAAAAATATGGCACCTTGAGGTGCAGCGGTGGCACAGGGGTTAAGTGTGTGACCCATGTAAAGTTAGTCACAGTCAGATCTCCAACTTCTATAAACAGAGGTTTTGATGGCAGCAGCGCAGCTGATATTTCAGCTGATGGAGACAAAGCCAAACAGTAACAGACCAGATGAAGCTACTATGAGAAAAACTAGAGAGAGTATAACGTAAATATGGCACCATGGGGTGCAGCAGCAGTACAGGGGTTAAGTGCGTGACCCATGAACAAAGGCTTTGGTCCTTGATTTGCCTGTTGCAGATTCGAGTCCTGGTCTGTTGAGCTTTGCCACATGTCTTCCCCCTTTCTCTGTTACCATTTCCTGTTTACCTACTTTAAAAAATAACAGAAAATAAATAAAATAAACTGCTACCGCCTAAAAAATCTTTACAAAAAGTATATATATATATGGCCCAATATCAGTAAACCTTTCTAAGGTAGGTGTTTATAAAACAAATTCAACAATATTTTAGCTTTGAAGCCTATAATTTCATAATCTTGAAGATTTAGACCTCCAGGAATGTGAAGAACATCCACCTGAATTGACTAGAGCTTTGATTTTAAGCTTTTTATTTAGGTTAATAAATTAGAGAAAAAATAACAAGCAAAGTAAACCTATCAGATTACTAAGCATGTCTGGTATTTACCAAGTACAGAATAATCTACAATATTCAGCATGTTGGTACCAGACTATGGTGTGTTTCACTGGTTTCATAGGAAACCCACTGCTTAGACAGCATTATATGTTTAATCAGAGTTGGATAACTGGGATGCAAGTAAAAATAAACAGAGTTAGCTTTAGAGCTAATAATTATTACAGCAACAAAATTTGTTCCTGAGGATAGAAAATGTTTGTTACGCAGGACATCCAGACAAACTTCACAGACACAGCTGCTCAAATGTTCAAACCTTTCCGCATCATCATGTAGCCTGTTTACAATTATTATATACATAGTATACATTATATTCTCTGCTTATTTTATTTATCTTTTTTTTTCTTATTAAAGTATTCACTTTGGGGATGAGGTATGTTAAGACAATACTTAATATAAGGGATGTTAAGATTATATTTTCAATGGATTGATTGCATGAAGTTAAATAGCTTTTATACAAAACTCTGTATCATCCAATTTACTTTGACTAAACACATTTATTTTCTCAGAGCTAGCCAGTCAGAACGGAAATGGAAAAAAATGAATAAAATGACTTTAAGGATTTCTTCCTGGATATTTTCTGGTATACGGGAGCACAGAATTACAGCTTCATAGACTAGAAACTATTCTGAAGAGCAAGTATTGGAAAATAATAGAGAGCTCAAGATAGACACTTCTGAATATAGATCTACATGTTCTATAAAAAGAAAAACAGAAATAATCACACCTCTCCCTCAAAACTCATACATATTAACTGCTAATTGTTTTCTCAACTAGAATTTATTATATTTCAAAAACCTTAAGTTTTGTGATGTTCATGATTGACAAAGACTGTATATAATTTGATATTTTCTGAAGCACATCCCTCCTCCAGAAATTAAATTTGAGGTTCTCTTACATGTGGGCCTGTGGTTTAGAAAAGTTTATATGGTTTCAGTTCTGGTTCCAGTCCTCTGCTTTACATGTGACTCCCTGCATGACGCTGAGGTTTGGGTTCCTAGAAGGGGATCCATTCGAATTAATGTTCCAAGTCTATCTCAGCCTGTCTTCAGTGTTTCTTCACAGCCATTCTGACGACCATCCATCCATCCAGAGTGTTTTTTATTAGACTTTGGCCAGCATTAGATCGCTGTCAGATGTTTTTGCTAAGTTCTTCAGAAATATATATTAACGAACTCATGTGTACCAAGTCGATAAATGTCTAGTTGTTTTTATTATAAAAAAATGTGCAGCTGATTAAATTGTACAGAATTACCTGAAATTAATATGATTTTTCTATGGTAAACAATCCATAATATCTGTAGTTACTAGAAAAGCAAAATGCCGTGCTGCAAAGAAAATAGTGTAGCAGGAATTAATCTTGTTTTCGGAATAAAAGACAAATAGTTTCAGATTGAGGATTCATCCGAAGTTTACTGTTTCATTTAAGGAAAATATGACATAATGGGAGAGTTCAGTTTAGAAAGTGAAACTAACATCACAAAAAACATCTAAAATGGACATTTTTTCAGATATTTGAATTTTTTTAATTCAATATTTCACTTCGATGAATATAGCAGTCGTTTTTTCTATTTAAAAAAAAAATACTGATGAGAAATAATGATTAAGATGAGCAAATGAAGCGATTTGTGGAGTCAAACAAAGTGGAGTCCTCCACCCTTCAACAGCCCACTTCTGCAATGAGTAATTTGAATCAATGAGTTTGCAATCAGTCACAACTATCAATGAGGTAAGGTTTGAAAATGGGTTCTGTAAAAGTTTGGTTGGGCATGAGTCACACGCGCTCCCCTCAGGCTGCCAGGAAAGAGTCGGTCTCCTCTCAAACATCACCGCCGTCCCTCTCCTTCAGGTTTTAGCCAGAGGCAGAGCGAAAGTTGGCTGCTCCCGTGGCTCAGATTAAACTAACAGAGCCCCCGCCCCACCTGCTGCTGGGAAATGAAGTGTGTTAAAGCCTGGCGCCTTATGCGGTCCTCCGGGGATTGGGTCAGATGAAAATTTAAGCAGATCTTATTTCTTAGAGCTGATAAATAAACTCCTGTCCTATCAAACTGATTGACATCGGCCATTTCTTAACCCCTTGTTGACATTAATTCTTCTGACTGATGTTATTTCATTCCCCCCTTTCATCCTGTCATGTGTTTACTTGACCCTTCTTTCTCCTCTTTCTTCATCTCTTCCATCCCGTTTCAGGAGGATGACGGCCTCCGGTTGAGGAAGGGCAACATCATGTCATCCCCGCACGCCTCAGGCTCCATGAAGCGGGAGGAAGGGTTGAGCGCCCGCTCCGTGGCCCTCATCCTGCTCTTCTTCGTGATCGGCGTCATCGTGGGGAACTTTGTGTTGTAGAGCGCAGCGCTTCAGTCAGCTGCAGCATGCTTTCATGGTGGATGAAAACAAACAGGGGATTTTGGATCAGAATGCCATAACTGCTGGGTGGGGGGTGGTACTAGTTTTGATTCAGTCCCATTTATGTAAAAAGAAAAAAAAAATATACCAATTAACTTAAAGGGTAATCTATGAGAGAAAAGAGGAAAAAAGACTCATCTTAAGAACAAACAAACCTGCGTTATCATCACATAATCCTTGTGGCTTCCTCCCAACGTTTCATGTTTTTCAGGCGGTTCGTTTCACTGGTCGGTGGGGAAACCGATTCATCTTTTAACTGGTAATTCAGCTCAATGAATCCTCTAACACTGGTGACGTAGAGTTTGATGCGACCTCTCTGGTCGCCACTGTGCAAATGTCATTTTATCAGATAGTTTTTTTTCTAATTGATGCACGCCAGAGCCGATTTTAACCAACGACTCCACAGTTCGGTTGGTCCAGGTTCTCCTTAAGGTGGAAACCCGTTTTAAGGGAGGGAGGATCCGAACAGTTGGGTTTGCACACAGGGCTATAAAACGTTCTCCTGTTGGAGAAGCGCTTTGGTCAGTGTAAGAAACACTACAACAGGTGTTTTTATTTCCTCACGTCGTTTTTCTTTCTGCCCTAATTTATTCCCATTACCTGCCAGTCACTGATTACACCCTTTATTGTCAAATGAGGATGTTTGCATGCGTTCACACGAGTGTTGCATCTGGACTTTTGAATCTAATTTAATTGCTTTTGTCATTTGACTGTAAATTTGCACAATTTAATTGCTGTTTTTTTTCCTTTCTTTGTCTTTTTTTTTTTTTTTCCTCACAGTTGAATTGTTTTGATTTTTTTTTTCTTGGGTAGGAGGTAAATCAGACAAACTTTTCCAGTAGAACTGAAGTGACGATTGGATAGTTTCTATACAGTATGAAAGCTTTGCCTTGTGACCTGTTTGGGAAAGTTATTCTCAGGCCAAGATGGAGGAGTAATTACAGTATATGATACCAAACTAAGGCAGATCAAATAGTTTTCCCTGACATCAGCAGGGGCCTGTGACCACATCCTAAATGCAACAGGGGGATAAAACGCTCTTGTTTTGCTCCATCTCCTGTTGAGCCATACGTTGGTTGACATTCTGTCTTATTTCTAGGAAATGCATGAAAAAAATCAGCCAAATGCTAAAGCTGTTCCCCACTGCTGGATTTCTTTTCCTTTCTTTGTTTCATTGTGAATTCATCTTTGTTCTGAATCACACACGTTAAAGCACTAATCTTTCAAAAAGTCATAACAGCTCTGCTGTTGTCTAAAGCAGCAGCGATGAATGAATGCAGCCAGGTTATAACGACGGTATTGGGGGTGGGGGGGATGAAATGATGCTACAGGCTTTCATCCATAAGACACAGATTATCATCAAATATGGTTAAAGGGGATTCTTATTTTGCTTTCACTGAAGGTAAAACAAGCAGTTGGTGATATTTTTATCCCACTGTGTACAAATAAAACAAGTTAAAAGCTAATTAAAAAATAAAATCTTCCGTTTCATGTTTGCTGAGAAATAAATAAAAATGTCAGAAATGTTCTATATATTTTTTTCTGTTGCGTGGAGGAAGTGTTTAATATGGATCTGATTGGTGGGGAAGAAAGTTCAAATAAACATGTTTGTGTTTTTACTGTATCTCTGTGAAGTTTTTGGGTTGAGGTTCACTTTTTACTTGGAGGGAGGGCAGAGCGGACCGGACCGCAGCTGCACTTCAGTTCCACAAAGGTTCTTTTATCTTTAGTTCTGTTCACTTCAGAGAATACAAATGTTTGACACAGATCTCACTTTAACCCCCCCTTATATAACTCAGTTATCTAATTTGTAATTTTGATCCTGATGCTGTAAACGACACTGGTTTGGGGCTGCCCAAATAAAGCAGTTATGTGTAAACACTAATTGATTCAGGCCTGGTTATAAAGTGTTCTAGAATGAACCTTCCTTGAGTGTCCGAACATCACCGTGATCATTGTAAGCACTCAAACTGTTTTCTATGTATATAAATAAAAAGTCTATCTAAGAAGATGGGTAGATCTCTTTAGTCAAGTAGTCTGGTGTAAAAAAACAACAACAAAAACAACCCAAGCTGGTTGGACTATGTAGCATCTTAATAAATTAAATGAATAAAGCTTCTTCCTAAATGTGTGACCTTATTTCCTGTTTAACACAGAAGTCTCATCCTTGACTCTTAAAATCACAAAAACTTTTAAGAAATGTCAGAAAAAGCAGTTTGCTGATTATTCGTTTGGACGAAAAGGCTTTTGGATCTAGGGCTGGCTGCAACAAACGATTATTTTGCTTATCGATCAATCTGTTGATTACTTATTTTGATTAATTACCCGACAGTCAAAGGATCCTAAATAAGACTGTACAAAATTAAACCCAGTTAAACTGAAACTTTTACTTGAGGAGTTCTGGATAGAGGAGATTTTTATCTTGAATACAGAATTTTTACATTCTATTACAATCTTGGTATAATTACTGCTCTAAGTGGGTTGCACTGTCAGCTAAAGTAATGATTTACATTCAAGTTAACAATTGATTACTCAATTAGGTGACGATTATTTCAATAAACGACTCATTGATTAATTGTTTCAACCCTTTACAGAACCTAAATACCTTGTAGGGTTAAAGGGAGGCTGGTCATAGGACTAGAGGCAGCGTACGACCTGGACTGACATTGTTTTACAAAGCAACTGCAGTTTAGTTGCAGATTGGTCAGAAGTCTTTATTTTAATAAACACATTTTTAGAAAAATAAACACATTTTTACTACATTTAGACCAGTTCAAAAGGGATTAATACCAAAATGTTTTGGCTTTCATTTAAAGGGAAATCCATGACAGTTGTTTTCTACTCCCTCACAAAGGTTTCAGTTACAAATGACTGACGCTAAATGTCTGTTAATAGAGTGCTTTAAGAAGACTTAATAAAAAGTGAGAGGAGGCCAGAAAACTGCCTAGACATGAACCCCTGAGAAAATCTGTTTTTTTTTTTGTTTTTTTTTCGCCAAGAGCAACATGAGCAATACCAGACACAAAAATAGAGAGGAACTAAAGGTCTTTACTTCTTTAAAACCTCAGCAATGTCACGTGGATCTTTTCTAACAACAACCCCAACAAAGTTATAGTACCGATCCTGTACAGTAGTAGGTCATATTTCATTGTAGTTTTGATATATTTTAAAAGATATGTATCTTTTTATTGGTCTTTAGTACAGTTAAACCTGAAATTATTCACAGCTGCATCAACTTCTAGATCATACTGATATTTTATTTTGGTCATGGTTCTTCTGGTCTGGACAGAATCATCATTAATTGCATGGAGAATCTGTGAAAGGAGCCAAAGATTAGGGTGATGGTACAGAGGTCACAGAGACTTGGCACTAAAGAAAAATAATCAAAAAGGACATGTTTGTCAGCAAAGCCAAAACAATTATCTGAGGGTTATCAAAGTGGCTATAAATAATATATTTAATAAATTCTTAACAAATATCTATTTTTAAGCATGGTCCTTTCATCATTGATTTTCCATTCTAAGTCATCCCTCTCAAAAGCAGACTTCTTTGTTTAATAGAAATAATTTCCATCTAATCCCACCAGGGTATGAATCATTTTTATAACTTCATTATTAAAACTTTCTGATAAAAAGAATGTTGGATTTTTATTAGCTTTTAGCTACAGTTATGAGAATGAAATAAAGGAAGCAATAAAATACATTGAAGCTATTTACTAGCAGATTTTTATTTTCTGATTTATATTACTGATTTAAATCAAGTTTTTGATGACCTATATGACACAAATTCCACTTTTTTAGTTTTTAGATTTGTTATAATGCTATTCTATTCTAAACGTATTGAGGACGTGTTAAACTCTTGTCTCTCTGTAAAGAAGAGGTGTTCAAACGTTTTGCCATTGGTCCAAAAATGGGAATCAAAAGAGCTTTGGAGGACGAAAGAAAAGAAATATTTTTTTTTTACCTGCTCATTAAAAAAATACAAAAAAACACAGTATTTCAATAAAAAAAGAAAATTAATACATTTTTGTAGAACAGTGATCTGTATGTCACTTTAGATCAAAACAATCAATCACATGGGTTTCTGTGGTTAAAAGAAACAAACAAATATTAAATGTTTTTGGTTAACTTCTTGGTCTGGATTTTTCTGGGTGAATTTTCATCAACATTTGCTCTTGACAGAAAATGTTCATTTGGAACTCTTTTTGATAAGCTTCTCATCACTAAAACTTACACTAAGACGTTTAGACTAACTTAAGAAACTAAATTAAATCAATCCTAAATTGTAGTTTAGGGCTGTATAAAATCATCCTGAGGCCTTGGGCCAAATTCTAGAAAATCTACCGTAAAGGCAAGAATCTGATGAGTTTAGCTTAAGTGATTAAACATGCTGTTTGTTCATACTACTACATAATAGTTGACTTGAATTAAAGCATTCGTACTGCAGAGATGTACTGACCTTATAAATAAGTAAAAACACAATTCAATTCGACTCAGGCCGACTGGGGTTCAAGGAGAAAGAAGACGCCCCCGTCCAGGAAACACACTGCTACGCAGACAAGCTCTGATCTAACTCCCATGTCAGAGGATTAAGAGAGCACATCCAGCCAGTCACAGTCAGAGAAACAGGACTACACTGAAAAACAGGCCGATCTCCAACATCTGTAAACAAAGGTGTTGATGGCAGCAGAACAGCTGATATTTCTCTCCAGGATGGAGTCAAAGCCAAACAGGAAAGCTAATATGAGAAAGAGCAGAGAGAGCACACACAGGCTACACAGTAGTTGGCATGGGTTATTGTACAGTGAGAGAGAAGAATATTGCACATGAGTGATAATAGGTAATATTTGCAGAAGATGTCCAAGGAGGGGTTGCTTATCCTAGTCCCTCTTCCTATCACCTCCTTCTTCCCCCAAGTGAAGAGCTGTACAGGTTAATGGCTTGAGGAACAAAGGAGTTCTGCAGTATATAGCATAGCACATATCTCAATGAAGTACATTTTTCTTTTTTTTAAGAACAATAAATCCCCAAACATACAAACAAACTAAAACCAACACATCAAACCGCAAATGCTAAATACAAGACAAGTTCAAATAGCTAAATAACTTTAAATAGACATTGCTACAGACAGCTTCGGCTGAGAAAATATAGGATCTAGGTCTCTAATCCAACGGGTTAGTGAAGGTGGTAGTTTTTGTCTTATTTCTTAGACAAAATTAATCATTGTACAAAAAAAAGAGATTAAAACAATATTATTCACCAAAAAACAGCTAGAAGATTAGCTTTTTTTAAACTCTTCAATAGTTTGGTCTGATAATAAAGATGCTGCCTTTGATGGATGCTGCTCACTTTCTAGTCATGACATCCAAGTTAGGTAGTTTTAGCAATTGAAAAATACTTGATCTGATGGTGTTTATACTTAAAAAAAACTTCAGCGACCTTGCCTAAAATGCAGTTTACAAGGGAATTATTACACCAAATATTGCTGAATATAACGTAACGGTGAAAGAAATTAGAAGCATAAGATGTTAGATTGAGCAGATCATCAGGAGGAAATGACTTTCATCACTGACTGACAGCAGTACAGTTTGTATCCACGCTGCTTTGCTGGTTGCTCTGTCTTGTTTAGTTTGGGCGGCAGCACAGTCTGCAGTGGATTTAAGGGTGAAAGATTTACACCTGCAAGAATATTATTTTGTCATTAAATTTTTGACTTAGACAGTTGTGGTTTTAAGAAAGAAATCCTATAATTCATCAGGTGTTATTGTATAAGTAATAACCACACAATGTTTCTGTCTGCACCTCATGGAAGAAGGCAGCACATCTGAGGTTGGCTCAGGAAACTGCCCTCCTGGGTCGCCACCTGGGACAGAAGCTCCCCAGCTGTTTGGCTTGGCATGAGCAGAGCACAGCTGCACACTCAGTCGTGGAAAGCTACAAAGATTAATTTATGCTTTTGCATTCGATTGGGAAATAATCCATTTCCAAGATATATCGTGGGAGAATGTCAGAGAAAAGGATGGTTGGAAGTTTAAGGCTCACCTGAGGAAAGAAGTCAGACCTCTTTAAACAACGGTGAAGTCAAGAGACGATGACCAGAGATTCAAGCTTGTGATGTGGAAAGGAGATGGTACATTTAACCGCACTTAAACAAAACATTTTATTCTCTTTGCAGGAAGCCAGGCTTCAACACAAACTTTCAGCTCCAGTTAATGACTGCAACATTATACTAGAGTAAAAACCAAACACAAATGTGATGCAAACCTTAGAATAAAACCACTGATTCAGTGAAAGTCTCATTGATGCAAACTGCTACAGAAATTAATAAAAAGCAGTAAAAAAGAAATGAAATTCTAACATTGGAACTCCGCCCATTTCTGCAGGTCTTCTTTGTGTTTAATGTTTCAAATTAAGTAACTAAATGACACTAATATTTTCTTTTATTTTCTAAACATTCACCTTGATTTTATATTTTAGTTGGCTATTTATAATCTAAAGTGTCTATAATCTAGGGAATGACCTGCCTCGTCACATCAGACAAGCCTCTTCTCTGACTGTTTTTATTGATTTATTGACTTTTATTGATCTCAGAATGGAGAAATTTGCCCGTTACATCGGCTCAACAGTCAGTTAATCTCTTTATTATTATTATTATTTTTTTTATGTGTTTTATCTGTTTTTATCTTTGATCCCTTTTGTCTTTTACCCAATTTTATTGATTTGATTGTGTGAATGTTATTTTTAATCCATGTTTTAGCATTTTTTTATGTCTGTCCTATTTCATGTCTTTATTTATGTATGTATGTATGTATTTATTTATTTATTTATTTATTTATTTATTTATTTATTTATTTATTTATTTATTTATTTATTTATTCTTCTGTACAGCACCTTGGTCAGCTGTGGTTGTTTTTAAAGTACTTAAGAATTAGTATTGGAGGCATGCTTCGGTGGCACAGGGGTTAGCGCACACGACTCGACACGGCCGACCCGGGTTTGAATCTGACCTGTGCTCGTTGCCGCATGTCCCTCCCACTCTCTCATACCCCCCTTCCTGTCAGCCTACTGTCCAAAATAGCCTCAACAACAACATAAAAAATAAAAAATAAAAATTGGAT